ATCACAGACAGTAAATTGTCATACTTGTGGGAAACTGTCACCACTTCTCTACATAACTTCGACAAGACCTATGAGCTTTCGTCGAGAGGTAATCTAGGCGAGGCACCTCTCAGGAAATTGTCAACAGTTCTTCTCAAAATCAGCAAGCTGGCGAGCATTTCAGACTGTATCGATGTCTTGGAGTCTGACGAAGACTCATCCAAAACAGCAACAACCCCTCCCATTCAAATACTAGCCAATATTGTTCATCGGGGCAAGTATGAGCCTCTCGACGACCAAGACATCGACGATCTCGAGGATGAGGTGGTCTCATTTGCGATCAAGACCTGCCAATTCTACTTTATGTGGAAGACGCTGGCTTATTCCAAACTCCTGTCATCGACTGGGAGTATCGCAGATGCTGAGCTTGATCAACTATCGGCACTTCGCCAGACTTTCCGCCGACATCTTATTGAAACCCTATCATCACGCGCCGCCATTGACCAGTTGAGATTATTCGCTACCGGCAGCCTGTGTGATCTTCACCTTACCTTCGCTACCCTCCGCTCAACTATTGATCAACTCAGGCCCTCGTCCACTTCTGAGTCACAAGCCTCGAACGGCGAGAAATACAAGACATTGATTCAAGATATCGAATCCGGCCTCATTCCTGAGTTGATTGCTATCTTTGACGGCACCGAAAAACAGTATGCCAAAAAGATAAAGAAGGACAAAACCCTAAATGAGCCAGCTGAAGACGAAGATCCTATGGCTGATGATGAGGACGAAGAGGACGAGGATGAGGACGAGGGTCTTTCCGAGGAAGAGCGTTTCACCGCCGAACTCAAGGCCGAAAAAGCTTTGTGCGAACTCACCGCAAAATACGTTCTCGTGATTACTGCTCGCCTGGTGGATCATAAGGGCTCACACGCAGGCAAGTTAAGGCGGCGTCTTCTTCGCAACCAAAACAAACTTGGCAACAACTTCAAAGAAGTCGTTGCCTATCTAGACGAAGAGAAGTTGGCCGAGCGGACAAGAAAAAAGGCCACCCATACACAAGCTCCAACAAGCACCAAACCTCAGAAGGCCCAGCTTAGTGAAGCAGTTGTAATTGGAGAGGATGACGAGGATGACATCTTTGATGACACGCCCCCGCCAGAGGAGGGCTCCAGAGAAGATCTCCGCGCAAAGGGTCTTCTTGAGGATGATCCGATCGAGGACGATGACGAAAATGAAGATGAAGAAGCGGAACGACCAGCTCACGAATCAGACGATGATGTTATAGGGGATTAGACACAACGAGTTTGACCTCTTACACGGTGGATACATAACTATTGCGATCTTCGGCGGAAATGACGTGCGTTTCCTGTTTCCATTTTGTGAATAAGGCGGTATAGTTTCGGATGGTTTCTTTGTTTTCTTAGTTTGTGTATGTTGCCTCTTGCCAGTTTGGACTTAGATGCTGGAGTCTGGGTATGCGGCAGAGGGAGGACCTGAATTTAGGGCGTCAAAAGACTGTGTGTACAAAACATCTATAGTCATTGCAAAATCAGAACAACTTCGCCTCGATCTAATCGCTTTTAACTCCTATTTGGGGCAAAACTTGCCAGTGAACACCGTAAGATCAAGGCGCGAACACGACTTTTCCCTCCCCAAACGCCTGATAAGCACTGTCCATGGCCACTGAGCTTGCCTTAATTACCACTACCAGACTTGACTGTCTGCTACACACTATTCTCCAACAATCCTGGCGCCAAAGAGTTGGAACATTCTCTGCCAGCGTTTCCCATTCCCTGCGTTGGCTTGTGACGGTTCTGGCTCGGCAACTTTGATACCGTATTGCTTTATGCAACATGGAAATGCTCGGTTTGTGAGTTGCGCTTTACTGGAGTTCTTTGACCCGGGCTGCTGTTGATCCTCATCGTCGCTATCAGCTGGAGGTTTTCCCTTTCTTGCCGCTTCCTGAGCAGCTGCCTTTTTCTCCTCCAGATTTCCCCAGAGCGTAAACATCTTGTCGCGGAGGTTCACCAGCGTCTGCTTATCTCGTCTCAGGTTACACGCATCGAGCCCAGTAAGTAATTGAGCAGATTGGTTGTCGACTGCCACCCAAAGTCGCTGCTTCTTATGTTTCTCAGCGACTGCAGCGTCCTCGAGCTCCAGAAAGAAACGCCACTCCCAGTTTCGCACCTTTGAGAAATCATCAAGCGTTCTCTGGATTGGCTGTTCATCTTCAGCTTCAGTTTCGCTATTGGACAGCGACTCTTCACCGTCATCGGAAAGGTCCTCATATTCTGATTCCTTCTTCGGATAAGCAAAATCTGCAAGGTTTGATGGTGAAAAGTCGACAACTCGAACGTTTGCTCTGTAGTTCAAGTTCACAAAGGGCAGGGGAAGTTTTACAAGATCGTCATTTATGGCAGTTTCATGCTGGACAAGTTTTGTGATTTCGGCAATTGGACTAGCCGGCTTGTCTTCATTTTCGCATTTCACTAAAGGATCGTCAGCTGCTGTATCAAGGAGTCTTGTGAGCTCAGGCGAGTTTACCTCGAATGTTTAGGTCCATGAGAGGGACCACATCCTGTTCTGTAGGCTCTCTGGCCTCACCTTGTTTGTTAGTTTTGGCTTTCAATCGTTTCTCATTACGCCTCGATTTAGAGTTGCCTTTTTTTGGTTCGGATTTTGACTCTAAGCCATGCTTGCGCTTTTGTCCGACCCTCAAAGCCTCCTTGATTTCTCTGGCCTGCCCTTTTCTTAAGCGCTCGTATTGTCTTTTTCTTTGCAAAGCCTCCTTTGCTCGCGGATCAAAATTCTCTGAATCGGGATTCGACCCTACCATACGAATACTAATCTTTGGTCCATGCGGATCACGATCTTCTCTCAAGAATCCTTCCAGGTTGGCACCACTGTGGCCTAGTTTGATTTGCAAATTTTTGATTAAAACCCATGGGAGAGTTCCCATATCTTGATCACGGAGTGCAGTTATATGGGGTTCCCAGCATGTGATCTGGATGCATCTCTTCCCAAAAGGACCCGGCCAGCCTGATGGGCTAGCAGCCATAGCATACTTGTCGGTATAGCCAAATGGATCACCATCTCGGCCGATAGAGGATTCGTCGAAGCCGATGGAAAAGTTATGAAAAAACGAGTTCTCTGTGTAATCGGAAACCCATAAAGTCATCTTGTCCCCGCCATCGTGGGGTGGCCGAACGACCTGGACAACGATGTCACAGAAACATCCTTCTTGGACATCTTGAAGTAGTTTGAACTTGTCTTTAACGTTCCGTGATGCAACAACCATGGTCTCAAACATTTCTTCATTGGGTAATCGACTCTTGTCAATGCTGTGATACATTACAGACACGAAAGCATTCTCCTTATTGCCTGGCGGTGTATCTTTGGGGCCACTTGGTGGACAAAGAGCGCATGAAGCTTCGCTAGGGCTTCTCGGAATTTTGGAGGCTTTATATTGAGAGATCTTCGTGTTATAAGTACTCAAGAGAGATGGGCCACGGGACCCAAATGACTGAACCTTTTGTGACAGTCAATATAAGGTTCTTGAAATGTTTTAGGTAACTCACTTTTGCTTGACGGATTAGCATCACATCGCCACGGCCGGGATTCGGTAGGTCTTCTTTCGGACGAAAGATGTCGAAGATAATTGAGTCATTATCATCTACAGATGAGTCGAAGAGCCGAACCTGACATTTGTAGTCTAGATGCGTTAGATAACATAATTTACTGTAGGAATGGATAGATTCTCACCTGTCCCTTTTGTTTTCATAATGTCACGAAAACCAGAAATAAGGCCGTACACATTGACTAAAGCCTTGTCTGCAAATTTCCCATTCAGGATATCACAGATAGGGACGTATCCTGGAAGTGCTGATGAAGATTGGGGAGGCATTGTTTCTGCTGTAACAACGACTGAAGGCTTAAATAGCACCAATAGATGGTCATTGACTGGTAGTAGGTGAAGTTTCGATAAACGAACGATTCTTCGCGATCACGTTCGTGGCAGTATATGGATGCTCAATGCATCGTCAACTAAGGTACCAAGGTAAGGTATGAATCATGAATGGGGTCTGTAGGACGCGATTGATACAGCATCTTGGGCGTTAACGCGTCAGGGGAGCTTACCCCTCCATCAGTAAGTCGCGACAGCACGTGATGATGCATGTGATTTGACCCGACTTCCAAGATTCATTATACAGTACGTTAACGGCACAGTGGCGATCGAGTGGGATATTTGTGAACAGAGAGCTAGACGTTATGGATACACCATGCAATTCTTAACTGTAGATTTATCAATGTGTGTGGCTCAACATCCAAAAGGGAGGCGAGGCGAGTCAGGTCACAGAGGATTTGCCTATTGAGTTTCAAGCACCAAGCAATGACAAAGGGATTGCGGTGAAATGTTCGTTCGTTCGTTCGTTCGCTGGTAGTTACTTTGTTTACATTACCTGGTCTCCAAGTGGATAAAAACAATGACCTGTTCTCTTTAGATTAACCTTACCCACATCATTCACAGAGTAGTCCTCTTTTCATGTCTAGCTCTGCAGAGAGCTGAAGGTGATTGCACAGTGCTGAGCGAACAACTTACGGGCGGAGTGGTTTCTGCCTGAGGCTGACATCACCCGACTGGGGCCCTTACGGTGGAAGCGGTTTCTCTTTAGGTTTAGCAGGCAATCAGTGGCCCAAAGCCCAGAGAAAGACTCGCCCACTGCCTGGGTCAATCATTTCGACGCCCTCCTAGTCCCCGGCCGACCAGACCCAGACCCAGACCCAAGACTTCTCTTCTCCATCAACATCAACAACAAAACTTTCTCCTTTTCCCCCTCCCCTCATCCTCTTCTCCTCTCTGGATTCTCTACTCTACGCTGCAGAGCAAGTCTTCTCTCCCTAGACGCTGAGCTCTTTCCATCATCTTCTCTGCGAACCCTTCGTGCATCTTCCACCCCGCACATCAATTTGCTACTGTTCACCTACCAACGCCCCCTCGTACCAAAACAATCGCAGTCATCATGGCTGAGCGATACATTCCCGAGCATCGCCGAACTCAGTTCAAGGCTAAGAATACTTTCAAGCCTGAGGAGCTCCGTCGTCGTCGCGAGGAGCAGCAAGTCGAGATTCGAAAGGCCAAGCGTGAGGAGAACTTGGCCAAGCGTCGAGGTATTGGTACCGGTGAGAACCGCCCTGGTGCTTCTCTCGGTGCCGCCCCTGATAGTGATGATGAGTCCGCTCCTACCGAGTCCCAGGTATGTGCCTTTCTATTTCTCAACCCTTGGGTTATCCTTGAAAATGCTGGGTTCGCCTGCTGCTTACGCAAAATCTCTTGTCGGCTTTCGCTTCGCCCCGTCCCTCCCGTCTGCCTCTGATGTGGGGGAAAATATACACTTCAAATAACCCCACATTCTGGTTCTGGCGGGTTTGAGCAAAAGGCAGGCTACGGATGCGGCTATGTTCACGTTCTATGCTCATTCTTGCTGTCATGCCTCGCTATGAATAGCACGACCCTGGCTGTGTATCTCTTATAAGCATTTACTAATACCTGTCTCTAGTTGAATGAGGACCTTCCTCAGATGGTGCAGGGTGTCTTCTCGGACCAGATCGATTCGCAGATTCAGGCCACAACCAAGTTCCGAAAGCTTCTTTCTAAGGAGCGCAACCCCCCGATCGAGGAGGTCATCAAGACCGGCGTCGTTAGTCGTTTTGTCGAGTTCTTGCGATCCCCTCACACCCTGGTCCAGTTCGAGGCTGCCTGGGCTCTGACCAACATCGCATCCGGCTCCGCCACTCAGACACAGGTTGTCATTGAGGCTGGCGCTGTCCCGATTTTCGTCGAGCTTCTTGCTAGCCCCGAGCCCGATGTCAGGGAACAAGCCGTCTGGGCCTTAGGCAACATCGCTGGTGATAGCCCTCACTGCCGTGACTATGTCCTCAGCTGTGGTGCTCTTAAGCCTCTCCTTAACCTTCTCGGCGATAGCCGTAAGCTTAGCATGCTTCGCAATGCTACCTGGACACTTAGCAACTTCTGCCGTGGCAAGACCCCCCAGCCTGACTGGACTACTGTAAGTTCTCATTTGAGGAAAGAAAACGAACGCGAATTAACTTATTACCAGATTGCCCCCGCGCTTCCTGTCTTGTCCAAGCTCGTCTACTCCCTTGATGACGAAGTCCTCATCGATGCCTGCTGGGCTATCTCTTACCTCTCCGATGGATCCAATGACAAGATCCAGGCCGTTATTGAGGCTGGCATTCCTCGTCGACTGGTTGAGCTTCTTATGCACGCTTCTACGTCCGTCCAGACTCCCGCCCTGCGCTCCGTTGGCAACATTGTTACCGGTGACGACGTTCAAACACAGGTCATTATCAACTGCGGCGCCCTACCCTGCCTCCTGTCCCTTCTGAGCTCTACCAAGGATGGCATCCGAAAGGAGGCATGCTGGACAATTTCCAACATCACTGCTGGCAACTCTTCTCAAATCCAGGCCGTCATCGATGCCAACATTGTTCCTCCTCTGATCCACCTTCTGCAGAACGGAGACCTCAAAACCCGCAAGGAGGCTTGCTGGGCTATTAGCAACGCCACCTCTGGTGGTCTGCAGAAGCCGGAGCAAATCCGCTATCTGGTTTCCCAGGGGTGCATCAAGCCCCTTTGCGATCTACTTGGCTGCCCCGATAACAAGATCATTCAAGTTGCGCTGGACGGTCTTGAGAATATCCTCAAGATCGGTGACCTCGACAAGCAGGCCGCTGGTGAGTCTGGCGACTCCATCAACCGGTATGCTCTGTTCATTGAGGAGTGTGGTGGCATGGAGAAGATCCACGACTGCCAGAACAATGCCAACGAGGAGATTTACATGAAGGCCTACAACATCATCGAGAAGTACTTCTCAGACGATGAGGAGAACGCCGATGAGGGTATGGCCCAACAACCTGCTGGCCCCAACGGCACATTCGGCTTCGGTACCAACGGTGCTGCTCCCTCAGGCGGTTTCGACTTTGCCAAGGGTAGCGACGCCATGGACATGTAAAAGGCTCGCCGGTTCGGATTGAGAATTTCGATAGGAAATCCAGAATGTGGAGCAATCCCAACCCCCCCCCCCAAAAAAAAACATAGCACCATCACAACACCCCTTCCCCCGGAACAGTTTTATGTGACTGTCGTTTACCCCCATCCCCATGATATCACACCCCATACCGCGTCTTTTTAATGTATCTGGAAGGTTTATACGAGGGAAAATCTCACCCCCTCAGATTACAGGCCCTATGGTAGCTTGAAAGCTCCAGCCTGAGAGTGATGAAGTAAGACGAGAGCGGAGTCGGCGGTGGCGTTTGGCTTCTCGGTCATGAATGCTCATGAGAAGATTCTACAGACGCCGACGAGTTTACGTGTATACGCTGAAGACATCATGATGGTTGATGTTTATGCACATGGGACTTGCGCAGGACGACCGCTGAGGCGAGGTGAGAGGCAGCGTCAATCGAGGACGGATGCCTTGGAGAGGCCTATGCTAGTGCACCAGGACTTCTGAGAAGATGAAGCTCGAAATTACGAAATTCGCTGCCAAGTGGTGGTGAATCTGGTTCAATGGTAGCCAGAGACCGTAGTTAATCCAAAAGAATATGATGGGTGTTTGCCCCTCATTCATGATTATCAGGCATGATGATATGTAATGATTTTCTGGCTGTAGATTGGTGCCAAAAGAAGACGACTCATTTCGTCGTACTGGAATGAGAAGGGAATCTATTCGCGTCCGTATCTACCCAAACTATGTTTCGTTGAACTTTCCATAAGATCATAATCGGAGTCATCCCTCGAAAGGGTTTGAGCGTAAATAGCGGGGCCACCAGGTCCGTATATAGCACAGAACACGTACTGTAATATGGTTGCACTATTGCACATGACGCACAGTGTGAAATAAGATATATTTCGTTTTTCCCCCAAACGCTTTTACTTTTGGCCATACAGTAACTGATCTCTTTCTTTCCAAATTACAGCTCTTGCGAGCAGTTCCGGAAAAGAGAGATTCCTGTGATACAATATGGATACCGGCACTTGGCAGTATAACCCGAGCCATATTTATTACATCGCCTTTCATAAGTAATCATCAAGAACTATTGCGCGGCTGACAATTATTACTGGGTGTCGAGTGAGCTCCACTAAGTAATCGATCACCAACCCGGCATTTCCCATATCAATTCTACAACAACACGACCAACAAACCACATCCATTCAAAATGGTCAAAAAGGGCAAGGGAAAGTCTAGTGGCGGTATAGATCTTTCTGATCCCATGCCGTCTGCGCCGCCTAAAGACCAAGGAAAAGGAAAAAAGGGCCAAAAAGGTGGCAGTTCTACTCCTGAAGCAGCTCTTTCGGGCCCCCCAAAACCTACGGTCAAGCAGCTCATCGGCGGCTCTTCATGGACAGGAAAGCTGCCAGTAAACCTACTCAGCGAGTACTGCCAGAAACAGAAATGGGAAAGGCCCGATTATGATACCAAGAAGACCCCCGATGGTTTCTCTGTATGGGTTACTATGAGCGCCAAGGATCCTAAAACCCAGCAGATCACCAAACTAGAACCCTTCAAAATTCCAGCAACTCATAAGCATCTGATTATGCGCCCTACAGCAATAGAAGCCAAGCATGCCGCAGCAACATATGCCCTCTTCAGAGTGTGTAGCATGCAGAATAAACACATGGTTCTCCCACCAGAGCACAAGTCATTATGGAAAGACTTTCAGGCCCTCAAAACCCAAGATATGAAAGAAGGCAAGGCCTGGATGTATGAACCGGACCCGTTTAAAGCACTTCAAGAGCGTCAAGAGGCAAAGGCTACCGCAGAAAAGAAGAGGAGAGAAATTGAGGCCGCTAAGGCCAAGGCCGCTGCCATGCCTGGTGCTTCTGGACTGGTCCTTATGAGTAATGCCGGTAAAGGAGATAGTCGGTCATCCAACATCATGAAGGGATGGAGTACTGCACCCAAGGTTGAGATGGGGAAGAAGACAAGAGCACAGTTAGAGACGTTGCTGCGAAGCGGCGTCAAGTGGAATCCAAATGGTGTCCAGATGTCGAAGCCTCAAAAAGACGCTATTATTTCTGAACTCAGCAAGCTCAGCTTCCGTAAAAGCCATGTTGAAGAGGCAGTCGAATATTGCAAAGATCGAGAAGAGACACTGGAGTGGCTTCTCATCCACGTCCCTGAAGATGATCTTCCTCGTTGGGCCTTGCCAGAGAGCTATGCGGCTGGAGTGTCGGTCGGAGCTACGAATCTGAGAAGAGAGGGCATCATCAAACGACTAGCTCAAGCAGGTTACTCACTTGAGCTGGCTACAAGGGTGCTGGACGAGCAAGGGGTTGATGAGGACAAAGCCGCAGAGACCTTACAAAATTTGCTCTTTCCCCGAGAATCTCAGGATTCCGCTGATGCTGACTTTTTGGATTTGGGCTCACCTGAGGAACAGTGGGAAGAGGAAGTCGGGAGTCTTGAAGCGATATATGGGGAGGGTTTCGAGCGTGAAGGCGATAACGTCATTCGAATCAAGCTCGATTCTGTCAAGAATGGGCAACAGACCGTCGATGCCTCTTTTCAGGTTCGACGTCCAGCTAACTATCCTGCCAACCTGATTCTATCGATTGTGGCAAACATTCCTTCTTATATCAAGCTGAGCATCATTCGAAAAGCACTCGAGTATATCGATGAGTCTTTGCGAGATGAGCCAATGAAGATCTACCTGGCTATGGACTGGGTCCAGCAGAACATCAACGGCATCATTGAAGAGCCTGGAAAGCTGGTGGATATTTCGGCTGTCTCCTCAGCCGCAGCCGAGTACAAACCTGTTGCGGCTATTGCACAAAACAAACGAAGTACACGCGCCCCAAAAAGGATCAAATGGATCAAGGATGAGAAAAGCCGGGAGCAATGGCTTCGACGGCAAGAGTCATCATCTTTGAAGAACATGGTATCCAAGCGTCAGGGTCTCCCTGCCTGGCAGATGCGAGAAGCCATAATCGGTACCGTCAGAAGCAATCATGTCACTATCATCAGCGGAGAAACAGGATCGGGTAAATCAACACAGTCTATGCAATTTATCCTGGATGATCTGTACGCGCAAGGTCTTGGTGGTTGTGCAAACATGATTGTCACCCAGCCACGACGAATCTCAGCACTTGGCCTTGCGGATCGTGTAGCAGAAGAAAGATGTACACGGGTGGGCGAAGAGGTGGGATATGCTATTCGAGGTGAATCTCGGAGATCGAAAGATACAAGGATAACATTTGTGACGACGGGTGTTCTACTCAGGCGATTACAAACCTCAGGGGGGCGAGTAGAAGATGTCGCGGCGTCTTTGGCGGATGTCAGTCACGTTGTGATCGATGAAGTACACGAGCGTAGTCTCGATACTGACTTCCTCCTCAACCTTATCCGCGATGTCATGAAGGTCAAGAAGGATATGCTCAAGCTAATTCTGATGTCTGCGACACTTGATGCCGCAACTTTTGAGAGATATTTTGCCTCGGAGGGACTCAGCGTGGGCACAGTCGAAATTGCAGGCCGAACATTCCCTGTAGACGAGTACTATCTGGACGATGTGATCCGTATGACCGCATATGGAGTCGAAAGCTCTGATACAGAGTTCATCAGCGGAGAGGCTCTGGGCAAAGTCATTCAAAAGTTGGGACATCGCATCAATTACAACCTGCTGGTAGAGACGGTCAAGGCCGTTGATTTCGAGCTATCCTACGAAAAGAAACCTGGTGGCATTCTGATTTTCCTCCCTGGAGTTGGTGAGATCAACCAAGGTTGTCGCGCCCTGAAAGCCGTTAATTCGCTTCATGTTTTGCCACTTCATGCTTCACTTGAGACACGCGAGCAGAAAAGGGTGTTTTCTGGTGCTCCTCCAGGAAAGCGAAAGGTTGTGGTCGCGACCAATGTCGCAGAGACCTCCATCACAATAGACGACATTGTTGTGGTAATTGACAGCGGAAAGGTCAAGGAGACCAGCTTCGATGTGCAAAACAACATGCGCAAGCTCGAGGAAACGTGGGCATCACGCGCCGCCTGTAAGCAACGACGTGGTCGAGCTGGCCGAGTTCAAGAGGGCAGATGCTACAAACTCTTTACGCAAAATCTCGAACAGCAAATGCCCGAACGACCTGAGCCAGAGATTCGCCGTGTTCCGCTAGAACAGCTGTGTCTCTCAGTTCGTGCTATGGGAATGAAGGATGTTGCTGGGTTCCTTGGCAGGTCTCCAACACCTCCTGACGCGACTGCCATTGATGGAGCTATGAAGCTCCTGGGACGCATGGGAGCACTCGATGGTGACGAGCTTACAGCCATGGGTCAGCAGCTTGCTATGCTCCCGGCTGACCTTCGGTGCGGCAAGCTGATGGTGTTTGGTGCCATCTTTGGTTGTCTAGATGATTGCGTGACCATTGCAGCGATTCTGAGCACAAGAAGTCCCTTTGTTTCTCCACAAGAGAAGAGAGACGAGGCGAAGGAAGCTCGTATGAAGTTCTACAGAGGTGACGGGGATCTCTTAACTGATCTTCAGGCCTTTCAGGAGTGGGATTTCATGATGCAGGACCACATACCCCATTGTCAGATACGATCATGGTGTGAAGAGAACTTTCTCAATTTCCAGACCTTGTCGGACATCTCCAATACGCGCGCACAGTACTACACGTCCCTGGGAGAGATCGGTATCGTGGCACCCTCAGAAGCGACAATCGAGGGTCATGCACATGGAGCTAGCTCTGATGGATCCCAGCTCCTGAGAGCGCTGGTTGCTGCAGCTTTCACACCGCAGATCGCTCGCATCCAGTATCCCGACAAGAAGTTTGCAAGTTCGATGTCTGGTGCCGTGGAGTTAGACCCTGAGGCAAGGTCGATCAAGTACTTTAACCAAGAGAATGGACGCGTGTTTGTTCACCCAAGCAGTACGTTATTTGGAAGCCAGGGTTTCTCGGGGAATGCTGCGTATATGGCTTATTTCAGTCTGATCTCAACCAGCAAGATTTTCATTCGGGACCTGACACGTACGTATATCCCCTCTCATGTTACAAATCTTGTTCGGTTGCGCTAACATATCAAACAGCCTTCAATGCATACACACTCCTACTATTCTCGGGACCTATCGAACTCGACACTCTTGGTCGAGGTCTACTTGTTGACGGCTGGCTCAGACTTAGAGGATGGGCGCGTATCGGTGTTTTGCTGGCTAGACTTAGAGGAATGGTTGATGAGCTGATTGCAAAGAAGGTTGAAAGCCCAGAGATGAACGTGAAAGACGACGAGGTCATCATGCTGGTTAGGAAGATGATCGAGCTCGATGGTATGGATGCTTGAGTAAAAAGTCTAAGGCCGTGATAAATGCAGATAGAGGTACATTAGATTTGGATTCTTAGCTTGACGGCAGCATTCTTCTTATATAGGAAGATCTCGAGCACGACACAAAAGTTAGAAAACTTAGATTCTTATTCACACTCAAACGCTGAATTCTGAGATACTCTTTCGACACACAACTCAAAATAGATATCTGTTCATGGCTGTGCTTCGGAGACTTGGGTATGAAAAGACGACTCCACCGCGGGGCACTCTCTATCATGAATGCTGCACGCTCTCAGCACAGTATAAAACACTAACTAATATTAACGCCAACGCCAACACCTGGCATCCTACAATCGTTTCCAATATCCCCACCTAAAGACATGTCTCATAAAGATTCAGAGCCAGAGGAGGCCATTACCAAGGAAGAAATCCGTGATGAGGAGCCTGCAAGGAAGTCGACCCGCAATGCATGCAAGTCACACACTCAACCCTCTCGAAGCATTCTTACAAATGACAGTCGCAGAACTCATGGCTCCAAAGAGGAAAACACCACCCGAGGCAAATACAGCTCGGCCATCGCGTAGCGGGAACCCGTTCAAAGACCGCATGGGCTTGGGTGCATATCTCGAAGATCCAGCCTCTTACCCATCTTCACGCGTCATCTATCACAACGAGGACTTTGTCGCTATAAACGACCGTTACCCAAAAGCCACAATACACACTCTTCTTCTCCCTCGGTCGTCAAAGTACAATCTTCTCCATCCATTTGATGCCCTAGATGACCCAGAGGTCCTTGCCAAAGTGAGAACGGAGACCCAGCGCCTTGAGGCTCTGGTCGCAAAGGAACTCCAACGTCGTCTTGGCACGCACAGTGAGAGTGATGCTCATCGACAAGCCGTGCTCGATGGAGATGCCGAGCCGGACCAGGGTGGAGAACTCCCGGACGGTCGGGACTGGGCTGCAGAAGTCAAGGCCGGTGTGCATGCGGTACCAAGCATGAGACACCTTCACGTGCACGTTTTCTCGAGAGATATGTTCTCCGAGGCATTGAGACATCGCAAGCACTACAATTCGTTCAATACGCCGTTTCTCGTTGATCTGGACGACTTTCCGCTTCCAGCTGATGATCTGCGCAGGAATACGAAGGAAGAGGCGTATTTGCAATGGGATATGAAGTGCTGGAGATGTGGGCTCAACTTTGGGAACCAGTTCCAAAAGCTAAAACGACATCTCGAAGAGGAGTATGAGTCATGGAAGAAACTTTAGATAGGGGAAATGGGAGGGGATGGGATGGGTGGGATGAAAGGGCCTGCTTTACCCGTCTGTAAATTAGCATAATATTTGTACAACTCCTGAGGAGCACAATCCCAGTATAACAGTTCCATGAATTCTTCCTGACCCTCACCCCTCGTGTTCCCAAGCACCCTAAAGCAAATCAACCAAATCCAGACCCTATAGTGAAACTAGGAAAATTCCGCCGGCGCTGATTATTCATGTTGGGATTTCCATATTGGCCATAATCGAAATCCTACTCGGAATCTTCGCCATCCTCGTCGTCTGCCTGGAACAAGTCAGTAAATAGTGTTCTAGGTCGAAGGGTATGAGAATGGAATTCTACCTCGTCCTTAGCGGGCGAATCATTGGCGGCATCATCATCCTCGTCGGCTGGGAGATGTTAGCACATAATTGATTAGGGTTTTGTAGAGATTCCTTACCAGGCTCATCGTGCTTCGTCTCTTCATCCTCTGATACATCGACAGCCTTTGGCTTTCTGCCACGCTTCTTGCCATTCTTGGGCGTTGTGGCAGCAGACTCTGTGCCGCGAGCAGCTCGAGGAGGTCGACCACGTCCCTGCTTTGGCGTACCATCATCATTTACTGCAGCGACCTTCTTGGGTCCAGCGGCGGTCTTCTTGCCAGAACCTGGGGGTCGGCCGCGGGGACGTCCTGTTGGAACATAGACCTTCTTGGGCATGGGCGCAGCACCCTTGGGAGGTCGTCCACGACCGCGCTTGACGGGAGGTTCAGCGGCATTCTTGGTTACTCCGGCGGAGGATTTGGGGATGCGAGGCGAGGCATCGCCCTTGGACGCGACATCTTCCTTAGTACGCGCCATGATGCGACAGAGAGAAAATAGCGGGAGAGATTGAGTTGGTGACAAACGTAATAAAATTTCCCGAAAAATCGCACAGTAAAGTACGATACTAGTTTATTCGGTTTGATTGTTGTAGCTGAAAACGCGACAAAAGATTGTTGTGGGATGTAGAAGAAGAGAGGGAAGACGAATGTTGGATGTCGCGTTTCGTCTGCAAAGGTATCTGTACCTTGGTACCTAAGCTCAGCTAAGGTGCAGCGCCCTAATTAGCAGTAAAATTGATCAAGGGTGGCTGGAGTTTAATTCGCGTCACTTGGTCCCCGCAGCAAAGAATTTGGGCTCTCGGGCATGACAGAATAACTCGAGAACAGGGCAGCAGACAGAAGGAGTGATATTTCTTTCGAAGATTGACGACAGTCTAAGCCTGATTCAGACTAGAGCTGCCGCGTCCTGATGGGGCCGCTTGGCCCAAGCTCCTTTCTGTTAAACCAGTCAAAACCTGTACTACGCAGACAAGGGCCCCCTGCAACTGCCCCTAGCAACGTGAATGACGCTGGTAAACAAAAAATACCTACAAGGGAAGACGGTGAGATGTGGGTTATTCTTCGACATCGACTTCACGACAGCATCGACAACGCCAACAGCATCCTTATGACGATGGCTCTGGACTCGAGATTGATGCCTTCTCCCTCATCACCCTCGGCGTCTTTTTATGAGGGCAGGGTTCACTCTTCGGCTTCAACGCCATCGCTGAGATCTCGAGATGCGGCTTTATCCATGCCCGCCAGAATGGAAGGGGGAGGAAATGTCAAGGTCGTAGTCCGAGTGAGAGCATTTCTCAAGAGAGGTGAATACACAAAAGCACCCGGTCTTTCATAGAACCTATGTATCTGACTAGTCTACAGAACTTGAACGCCAGGCAAAATGTCTGATCCAAATGGACCCCATCACTCAACTCACAACACTATCCGCACCCGATGATCCTGACCCAGAGGCTGCAAAGCTAAAGGCCAAGAAGGTCATCGAGGAAAAGAAGTTTACTTTCGATAACTCCTTTTGGAGTCATGACACTAACGACAAGCACTACGCCACTCAGGAAGATGTTTACAACAGCCTTGGCGAGGACTTTCTCGATCACAACTTCGAAGGTTACCACACGTGTATCTTTGCGTACGGACAGACTGGTTCTGGAAAAAGTTACACCATGATGGGCACTCCAGACCAGCCTGGCCTGATTCCTCGGACTTGCGAAGATCTCTTTGAGCGTATTGACGCCGCTCACTGCGAGAACTCAAACGTCGCCTATAATGTTCGCGTCTCATACTTTGAAGTCTACAATGAGCACGTCCGTGACCTCCTCGTTCCTCCTCAGACGCACAAGGCGCCCAATTATCTCAAGATTCGCGAATCTCCCACCGAAGGTCCATACGTCAAGGATCTTACCGAGGTGCCCGTGCGAAACATCAATGAGATTCTGCGCTACATGAAATTAGGCGATACATCTCGTACGGTAGCGAGCACAAAGATGAACGATACAAGTAGTCGAAGTCACGCCGTTTTTACAATCATGCTGAAACAAATTCACCACGATATGGAAACCGACGAGACGACAGAGCGAAGCTCTCGCATTCGACTGGTAGATCTAGCTGGTAGCGAGAGGGCAAAGGCCACCGAGGCTACTGGTGCGCGATTACGTGAAGGTAGCAACATCAACAAATCACTGACCACGCTGGGACGTGTAATTGCCGCTCTAGCGGACCCCAAGGCCGGAAGGGGTGGAAAGCGAAAAGAAGTTGTCCCATACCGAGACTCAATCCTCACCTGGCTTCTCAAAGACTCACTAGGCGGAAACAGCAAGACGGCCATGATTGCCTGCATTGCACCCTCAGACTACGATGAAACCCTTTCTACGCTGCGATATGCCGACCAAGCCAAACGAATCCGGACTAGGGCTGTTGTCAACCAGGACCACATATCAACAGCCGAGCGAGACGCACAGATTGCTGCCATGGCGGAGGAAATTCGTATGCTGCAGCTTTCCGTATCAGACTCGAGACAGCGTGAGAAGAACGCCAAGGAAGCTGAGGACAAACTGGAGGAGTACCAGACTCATGTCAACTCTATGCAGCGCATGATGGAGGAGCGCAGCATGGTAGCTGAGAGCAAGATCAAGAAGCTTCAGACGGAGAATGAGGCTTTGAAATTGCACCTAAAGCTCGCTATCGAAAGCCTCAAGAACCCTATTCCTCCTGTTGTCGTAAAGCCAGAACGAGAAGTCGACGAGCAGGACAAGGAGAATACCTCCGAGTATAGTGAGTACGATGACGATCAGTACGATTCGGAAAGCACAGCATATGGTGAGGATGAGTTGCAAGAAGAAATGCAGCAATACCTCCAGGATATGGGGAACTTGAGGAAGTTGATGCAAGGAGACTTGACGAGGTTTAAGAATGAGAACAGCGCGAGAATGCCACTAGGCGCAAAGGAAAACCTCTGAAACAAATGGTCAACGACGCAGAAGCGATTGAAGGAAGATTTGCTAGCATGAATGGAGCATGGTGTTTTGGAAGCGTTGTTTGAATGACCGGGTCGGATTAGATTCACTGGATGTCTCTTTGAGTTTGCTGGGCAATAGGCTACGTTACTTTACGTTACATTACAAATGATTTAAATATGAAGAATTCTATCACATACGAGTCCTCCGAATTGGAAGGCTTAAAAAGCACTCTTCCGATCCGTCGGTTAACGTTACAGGATGAACTGTTGATATGATCGTTGTCAAACTAGTTTCACTAAGCAAAGTGCTTGACCCGATTGGCTGAATCGTTTCGTAAACCTCAGTTTCAGTCTGATCAGGGATATCTGAAACTGTCACCATGATTCGTCAAAACGTCAGCTGAGAAAATAGAGCATAAGTTGAACGCAGTAGCAGAGGTCAATAAATGAGCAACTGACGATGTTTCGTCACCAATCAAAGGGGATTGCAAAGCCTGGAGTAGCTCATTCGCCGCCTCAAAGACCCCGCAGTCATGTCGTATCATGCCATGTCAACTATTTTTGCTATGCTCTTATGGCAGAAGGCTTGACATTTGTCTTAGATAATAGGAATATCAACATGTATGCTCAGTATAGTCAAGGGTCATACTAGTAGACTATTTCAGTTGTTTGTCTTTACCCCTTATTCAGAGTCTTATAGAAGTCTTCGGACACCTCGAGGTAACCCACCTACTAGGTAGTACCTATAGTACCTGATTAATCCTCCATCCTAGGCATATCCCCACCATAGCTCGGCATTTGGGCATCTGCATCACCTAGGTAGCAACAAAACACTTGACCTGAATGTTGGACAGTACGTATCCACGTCTCCTTATTTGACTTCACATACTGGCCTTCTCCTTATGCCTGCCATTATCCGCTTGTCATTAAGGACTAAACGACGAAATAGGGGCTGTTAATAGTTTACCTGTACTAAGCTGTCTATTCCTCTTTCTGTCTGACGTGCCCCTCACCAGCTACGCTACCTACCTACCTACCTACCTACCTACTACGTGACAGGGTTGCCTCTGTACTGTAGTTTCAACTCCAGTCTCCGTGCTCATCTCCGACCTTTGGCTTTCCTCACCTCCATAACTAGTTACTCAGCATTCTTACATTCGTTTTCCCTCCTTCTTCATCCCGCATCTTACCAACATGTCTTCCCGTCTCCCTCTCTTCACGCGCGGCATCGCAGACTCGCAATCTCAGGAGAACGATCCCAGCTCTCCCGCCGAACAGCGCGACGATGCCAAGCGAAACTTCCTAAAGACGATGCGAGCACTGCCCACTCAGCATTATTGGAACGTCTACTTCGACCGACAGGCCAAGGAAGGGGAAAGCGGTGATCAGTATCACTCTGGGCTGGAGCAGCTCGGTACCCAGATCGAGTCGGTGCAGGACTTTTGGCGATACGCCAACAATACTCCTGTCGGAAATATTGGTGTTCGAGAGTCTTTGTATCTTTTCAAGTCAGGCTTCCGCCCTGTCTGGGAGGATCGACGCAATATTCTGGGTGGAAGTTGGACATTCCGCTTCCCTAAGAGCATAGGTCCTGATGTGTGGACTCGTGTTCAGCTCCTTGCTATTGGCGAGAAACTCCAAAGTGTTCTCGACGACGGTACGAGCTCTGACCACAAGCGACACACTTTATGCTAACTTCTGCTCTAGACGACCAGCTTTGTGGTGTTGGCCTCTCCGTCCGCTTCAACTCCCACCTCATCACCGTATGGCACCGCGACGCCTCCAAGAAGAACTCGATCGACAACATCGTCAAGTGCATCATGGAAGAGCTCCCTTCCGAGATGCACCCCAAGCCCGACGCATACTACTACAAACGCCACTCAGACCATGCTGGCTTCAACCCTCCCCCGGAGCTCAAGGTCGTGCTCGATTCCCGCCGACAGGAAGAGGAGAAGCTCGCCGCCGCTGCCACCAACGGTGGTGACGCTAAGCCAGCGGTGACGGTCGAGTCTCCGCAATGATTTTCACGAAAGTTACGACGTTTGATTTTGCGCTGCTATATATTTCGAGTTCATTTCAGGTAGTTGGGTTGGCATAGTGTGTGCTTGTTAGCTCACGCATCCCGTTCCGCCGCTGTCGCCTATGGGGCATGCATGCATCTGATAAGGCGTTTCAGAATTAGGTGTGATTATATATATGCATTGGCCAGGACCGTTGATCCTGAAGAACCTGGAGCTTTTAAGATTGTGTAATTAGATTTGGAAGCAGTGAATGCGTAGAGCTGCTCCTCGGCTCCCGACATAGACACTGAATAACTGATGCCTCCATTTATGAACTCATCAAGGTCCCTCCAAACAAGCATCAACTCAGTAATGCGCACTATACTATAAAGATTACCATGTACGTTGGTCTGCTAATGGCAATGTACGATTAGCAGTCAGCGTCTTGTCCCTCATCTTGGGTTTCTTACCTCTCTCTCGATGCAACATTGCAACTCTTGGGTCGATTCCGCTTCATCTCATGGTATGAACTCCCCCAAATCGTACAAGGCAAGTTTCGTTTGTTCGTAAATCGTAGCATGGTGGCTCCTCCTGGAAGTTGGAGAATCACCTCCAGACACCAGCACTCTTCATGACTCCATCAAACTCCTCAACGCCCACTCCCCTAGCAACACCTACGCCACCGTTCGCCTCGAGAATCATATCCTTGAGTAGTTCCTCATCAACATCCTCTTTGAGCACAGCAGCAACACGTCGGAGGTGTGCAAGCGTAATGGGCCCATCCTGGCCGTTTGTGAATAGTCGAAAGGCTTCCTCGACTTCTGCACGATGAGCGTCCGAGTCGTGCTCTCTTGTGTGGAATTTGAGGGCGCAGATGGCGAAGAAAGGTTCAAAGGTCGCGTAGCCGTCGTTTTCTGGGTCTAGGATTGATATAAATTCTTTGAGCTCTGCGTGAGAAGAGGGCGGAACACCGAGGGCTCTAATGACACAAGTATATGTCAGCCAAGGACTCAAAAGCGTCCTCACATGAATACTAACATCAGCGCAGACTTGACGTCGTCAATAGGCAAGACTCCATGCTTTTCGCCGTCCATTGGCTCTGCAAAGAGACTGAACGCCTCGCGGATCTCGCCCTCTTCTTGTGCAGTCACATTATGCTCCTTTGCAAGTTTGGATTGTCGCGTCTTGGGGACAGCGGCTGCGCTGGTGGGAGCCTTGCGCTTTGGAGGCTAAGGAGTTATGTTAGACCGTGTCTTTACTGATAAAAGTTCATAGTTTGCATTACCATTTGCGCTTGCGAAGAAGGCACAGAAAGTACTTATATGCAGTCGCGATGATTGATGTCACAATAGATGCTTGTGGTGACCATAGTGGATTTGGCGCCCGCGACGGACAGTGCACCAACACTGTCTATCTATTCAGTTCAGACTGTACGGGCCCGTTTCTCAATGAGTTTTAATAAACTTTTCTTTACAGACCCAATCCATTTCCCTTTAACAATGTCAACATTTACACACTCTCTCGCGGCTGATTTTACAATGCCCTCGCGCTCTCTTCGAGAATAATCACCGCGAAGTACTCTACGGTTTGTTTACTTATGCCTACTACGCCGCTACCATATAATCGTTTCGAAGCCGACGGCTCTTCTCGATACCGTGACGTTACCTCAATATTCGCTTCTAAAAATGCTAGAGCTTGCCGCTTTGAAATTACTACAGCGAGCAAGTGTGGACAGTGAAGCAAAATTCAAATAAGCCTCGTCGGACAACTTCAAACCGGCGTGGTTCCAGCGGGTAGCAAGCGATGCCAGGTCTTTCAAGACAGGCACCTAGCGATCCATGGAGACATACATTTGTAGTAATCGATTTTCAATGCAGTCAATTATTCACTCGGAATACTCGCTCGCCCTATGCAGTTCATCTTCACCCACGTCTTTGGTTCCTCGTGGCCCTCATCAATCTGTTACCTGCCTTCTATATCTTGGGCTCTGGCTCTCTGTAGACTGGTCAGTCGTGAGAGGATAAAGGATAGTGAGGAAGTGTCACTACTTACTCACTTGAAGTTGTTCTTCATTTCGCGTAACTTGGCCATAACGGCCACAGGCTCCGTCTCGCCTGTCTGCTTCTGAATCTCGGGATCCTGTGATTGTTAGCTTGGTGACCTAACATGTTCAAGAACTTTGACGAACCTCAACCCTCATAAAGACGTTATGTTCCTATGCAAAGTCAGCCGTTTTGTATGGAGACATATCATGAATTCGAGCTACCTTTTCGTCTCCGATGGTAAACTTGCCGGTGGTGACCTTGTTGTTATCGGCGAATGAGTGCAGCTTCTGTACAGCATCACGCTGAGAAACAGATGCGGCAAACTTGACATTGGCCTTTGTATACTCATGTCCCGGCTGTCATAATATGAGCATCAATGCACATTTGTGTTGGCTTGGAACTCACATAAACTACGGTGTCATCAGGCAATGCCGAGAGACGCTTGTTCAAAGCCTCGTGCATCTCCTCCGCATTGCCCTCGAAGAATCTTCCACATCCTGTTCAATATCAGCACAGGGCACAAAATAACCTTGTACGCATTCGAGGTTTGGCCAAACTTACCGCCAATGAAAAGGGTATCACCCGTGAAAACAGCTTTGTCCTTTCCGTCTTCCACAAAGAAGCAGATGCTGTCCTGAGTGTGGCAAGGTGTATGCACACCCTTGAAGGTAATGTCGCCTAGCTTGAAGGTCTCGCCGTGACCAGGTGTCTTCGTAACACCCTCACAGTCTTTGCCGCCGATAATATCCAGCTTGGGATTGCCCAGCTCAGCAAGCTTGTGGGTGTCAACAAGTGTTGATGGGGCATCATTATGGGGTGTCTTACCAGCTTCTTGTTGCCTCCTGCATGATCCCAATGGCAGCAAGGAGATCAGTCTAGGTTGAGAGAAATTGATGGTTAATGATACTCACTGATGGGTGTTGACAATGGCTGTCAAGTTGATCTTCCCCGCCTTAATAGCATCCTTCAGGATAGGCGCAACCCTGAAATATACATCAGCAACTTCTCAAATATTCTCAGGATGGTTACTATGTACTCGGGAGGGTTTGCGGGATCAACGATGACGGCATCCTTGGACTTGTCATCAACGACCAGGTAAGCGTAGTTGTTGGAGCTTCCCTCCCCTATTGAGACCAGGTTTAGATTCCTCGACTTGAGAGAGGATTCTTCGGGCACTTGACATACACATGGGAATTGACTGAATATGCATGGCGCGGGTAGCAACGAGCTACATGATCTCAGTTAAGCACACATTTTGGAGTTGAACAATTGACTCACAGCACTAGATGAAAATCCGATTTTCTGTCTGAGGAATGGCCGACTAGTAGCGAGTCTATACATAAGTAGGTCTGTGTAAATGGCAAGGACGGTTGAAGATGGATGCGCTGTAACAGAACGGTATCGAATGAGACGTGAGGCTTTGTCATCCAAGTGAGGCATCATGGCTCCGGTATCATGACGTTTGCCGATGCGGGCGACTGCACGTGATATGTCCCAGTCCAATTCCAACATCACCCATGTTTGCCTCTGCAGAATGATTTGTACGTCTATTCAATAAGGGGTATCTAGTACAAGGATCGAATCATGCTAGACAATCCCAATGGGTTTCGGCTTCCATGTGCCTTTGAACTCTGACCACCCAAAGTCATCTTCCTCATCAGCTTCACCAGTGTCGGGCACTATATCTTTCATCGTCGTATCGGCGGTACCAGATTTGGACGACTTCTTATTTTCCTCAGACTCTCGTAGCCTCTGCATCAATCCCGCGCACTTCAAAAATGCTTGATTGCCTGGCAAACTGCCCTTGACCTCTTGAACTGTCTTGAGAACGCGCTCTGGAGGCCATCGCTCAAACTCCTGGAATATAGCCGCTAGCTTCGATTCATCTCCCTCGCCGAGATACCGCAGTACTGCCTTGCGACACGCGTCGCTATTGTCCTCGCCCAGCTGCTTCCAGTAATAATCCCAAATCCACAATAAGGCTTTTTTAGCTGCTGTGCGCAGTTTTGCCAATGAGGGCAGCTGTTCGTGCGTTGACTGATGGCGAAGCTCAACAAATGTAGCGGGCAATCCAATAGTCTTTGCAATAGAGTACATGCTCTGTTTGCGCTGTTTGTCCTGATGGCCATCAAGAAGACCAGTAACGAACCTAATGTTCCATCAGCTCTGTCGTACAGTAATGGGTCTCGATTGGCATAACTTACCTGCTAAAGGCAGCTGAATATGCTGCTCTGATTGCATACGCCGACGAAGCTGCATTTTCTCCAGCGGCTGCCTCTTTATCACTCAGCATAGCTGCCATCAACAGTGCTGTTGACTCGACCATGTGAGGACAGTTTCCTCGCTGCATCCACATTGACACGCGCGCAACCGCTTTGTGCTGCCTCTTCTGTATTTCCTGGTCGTCCAAAATCTGTTGGCTTTGTATGTTTACACTGACTTTGGGCTGGCTTGAGTGCCCCTTTGCCTCTATGGCGTTGATGTCGATGCCTGTGTACATCTGCTCGCGAACGAGCAAGAGTTCGTAACGGTCGCGCCATGGTGTAAAGACATATTGTACCATTTTTCCTCCTCTAGGATAATTTTTTTTTTTTTCTGGCGTATTTGATAGTAGGCAGAATTTACTCGCTTGTTCAGGAGGGGCAGCGGTGCGGGTAATTCTTGTGTCCTGTTTTTAAGTGTTGTCGGGCGCTGATTGCAGGATTTTGTGAGGATAATAATTTTCTTGGTAATAAAGGATGGATATCCATCGCTTGAACAGGTTAATGTTCCTGCCAACAGTATCACCATTTAATGCTCTGTGAGTTTATTCTGGAACCTAGGATATCTCAATGGTTTTCAGCATTATTATAATAGTCATTTTCTTTCAATTTCTTACCCCCCAGCACCAACGTCTTTTGAACGGCGCCATAGATAAAATGTCAATGAATACAAGCAATACTCAAAGTCCGAAGCTGGTACAGGGTAAGACATCTAATTAAAGAGAGAAAACTCAGAGTGTTTGAACTCAAAAACACTCTCGCTGTAGTAAGCATCTAATAGATGGTGTCTTAAAAAATATGTCTACTAGGTACCATAGATATATGCTTTTATGATGCAGTTACTATTTCGGATAGTAGAGGTCGAGAATGGAAGTTTGGCGAGAGCATATCATAGCGCCTTGCCAATCAGCATGGAATAAATCTATCGGGTATCTACCATCCCTTCTCGGGAAGGGACCTCCTCCCTGCGTCTTACTACTAGGTAGGCAGGTTGAGCAATTTTTCAGGTCATGAGGTGGAGCAGAGCTCCCGATCGAGTCTCATTTGGAGCATGCTAGTCATGTCTCCCCAGAATGTATGAATAATTATACATCATGCTCTCGGCTGTCACCTTGGTTCGTATAACTCCCAGCTCTATCTACGGAGCTTCCGAGCCGCGCAGAGTGCTAAGAAGTTGTCAAGGTCAACATTTCCATTGCTAAATTAGATTGACTTACTGATCAAGGGGAGGCAAGAAAACTTAGGACCTTTATCCAAAGTGATAAAAAGGCTCAGGTAAGTTTAGTATATTTTAGTAGAGCTTTAGACCAGTTTATTCTGACACCCTGATTTAATGTCTGAAGTTTTATTCCCCCCCCCGAGGCCAGTCAACCACACGGTGGAGCTATCCGTAGCCACTTTTTATTCTTCAGCCACAACCGTCGTGGTGCCGTAAAAGAAATCAGAAAGAGGGGGCCGTGCACATGCCACGCAGGGCTGGCTCAGAGTGGGGAGGGGGGCGTCAAATCTGGAACTTGACCAATTGAATATGCTGAGTCAAGTACGGAAGCACGGACCTTCGATATGCCACATGCTGTACAGGGTTTAGCACACCTAATCAACGTTGGGAAGAGACGCGGCTCTTTTTTGGATCCACCTCATACCGCCTCTTTTTGCCAAAGCTATCTCAAACGATGATGTGGTGACTGATGAATTTTGCTGTCGCATGTTAAGCCATAATACGTGGCACATTGCCAAGTCGTTTTAGTCTCTCTCTTAATATATTGGTTGTATATTGCTTTGTTGGATAACTACCTATTGGGCGGCTGCCTGAGCCTTACTCGTATCTCCTAGTTTTGTGCTTCTTGCACGGGGTATCCATAGCCAGCCAGACTCTATGTGTGTAGTAAATTCAAACGCTTGCATCCATGCTCCTTATCCCGAGATCCAGGTGCACCGACCTTATCACCCTATATGTTCCCGTGTCCCAGAGGAGCAAATGCCGGCTTTTCCTGCCTACCAGTGTACACCATAGTGATACAAAAATTCATGTCATTATTCATGTATGCCGTTACAATTCGAGATGCAGTGGGTTCACTGCTCGTCATCCTCGTCATCTTCCTCGTCTTCCTCGTCATCCTCTTCGTCAGATTTGGGAGGTTCCCATGTCTCCTCCAGCTTCAGGCCCTTGCCTTGAGGCTCATGGGTTCTGAATGATGATCCAAGTAAAGATGATACAGTAGACCGATAGTTGTTGAGCTGAGGATCCTCGTTGTACTTTTCCGGAGTGTCGTATAGCCCCATTCCAACTAGGATCTCACCGTCTTCTTCCGCGGCATCTTCAAGAGCCTGATAGTGAGGATCCTCTGATACTGCTGGTTGAGACAGTTGGGTTTGTGGGAGGGTCTCAGGGGTGGGGGGTGTTGTGGAGCCAATGCCGTGCATGATAAAGGTATTCCAATCCCATCCATTGCTATCAGTAGTCTCGGCGGGCGCAGCAATGACAGGCAGTTGACGACCCGGCAAGACCATACAAGCAGCGGGGGAATGATGCGACATGTTCGTTCCGTGGTAAGGATTGTAGGTCGTGTTGTCGGTAGATTGATATGGGAGAGGAAGATGGGAGAATGCCAGCGGGGATGTGCCGCATGAAGTTGAATGCATCATTGGGGAATAATGAGCATAGTTGCCGTGCAAGTCTTGGTGGTCGGGAGGTAAGTGGCTTGTGGTTAAGGCATACGCGGGCTGCTGCGCCTGAACATAGGGTTGTTGGCCATATGAGCCCGGATGCCAACTCACAGGACGCGATGATCGTGGAGCGGGTTGCTGGGACTCAACGTCACGAAATGTTGATAGCTGTTCCATGATCTGCTGTTGTCGACGTTGCGAGTTGCCGTCATTCATGAGAGTCTTGCGGCGAGCCATGAAACCAGACGAACGAGGGCTATTGTTGGCGCTTGAAGGCTTGGTCACTCTCATAGCACCTCCTGATCGTTGTCCACTGGACCCTCTTGAGAACCTTCTTGAAGCTTGCGAGCATGCCATTTGTTGTGTGTGGTCGTCCAGCATTGTGTCATAAGGATATGTGATGGGCAAGGAGCCTGCTGGCTGCACACCGAAAAGTGGATGCATCATCTTGAGGTGTATCGAGTAAGTAATATGATGTAGAAAGTTGAGATATATCGAGACAAGTTGCCAAAATGACAGCCGATACGAAAGTAGTTATCGTGCTCAGTATAAATTAATCATTGAGGTGAAAGAAATGATGGTAGATCCCAAGAGAACTCAGAAGGGCTCAGCTTGAATATGTATCGTGAAATGGTGGTACCGGCTCCAAAGGGGTTCGAGGGGGTTAACGAAACATGGGGCAATCGATGGCTTGAAAGATAAATCGAGCCTAGCAGCTTTGAACAAGATCAACTCCCCAAGGATCTGGGTGTGGATCAGGAGGGGCCAAGCAATAAAGAAGCATGGGCGATTTAGTAGCGATATGATGGCTGTAAACCGTAGAATTTAGAACAGCGTCAAATCAGAATCTGGGCCATGGGGTACTTGGCTAGGTTCCTCATCACATTTGACACTCACTTCACGTTCCTGTGCTGGGATTATCTTTCTAGCATGGCAACCAGGGTGGTGGGCTGCGTCATACGGGCCGGCAGGGGGTGTGTCAACGGGCGGAGCCAGCAAGCAGTGAGAAAGGCGGGCGGGAAGTAGTGCCGGAGAGAGAATCAGGCTGCTGGTCTGGGGATTGAGACGACGTCTGCGGCATGGAGCCAAGGGTTTTCTTGTGTGAGGGCGTGCGTGTCGACTGGTGTAGAGAAGGATCAGTGCGGTTCACGCCGATTTGGTAGGCACACGCTAAGTTTGGCGTGGTACCGTCGTACCGACAGGGCGACAAGGAGGAAACAGGTAGTGAGGGTAATGGGGCCTCCGGCCTCCCGCCGCTATGATTGCGTTGCAGACCCACGAGAGCGGCGTCTCTAGCGTCTCTAGAAGAAGTGGGCATCCTCGGGTCGTCTGGACTCAAAGCATGCTAGGCAAGTCACCCCTGCCGCTAGGGATGCAGCTCACATGGAAGAAGGGATGGAGAAGAAATTGGCGCACGGGCTGGAGTCGTAATAAAGCACAAGGAACAAGGTCGTCAGCCAGTCTGGCTGCAGCATCCGCTCGAGACTCACCAACCAGTAGGGGGTTCAAATATTGTTGAAGGGGTGCACCAAGGGCTGCACTAGCCGGCGCCACAATGTATGCATTTTTGGGGCCTGAGATGGGCTGGGGGACCACTGCTGTAGGAAGCGCCGTGCCCAAGCCAAAGGATGGAACATTTCCCTACTGGGTGAAAGTGCCACTCCAAGCGGGATGCTCATCACTGCTTTCGTGGTTTGGCATGCTTCGTACTGCAGACACCCCTGCTGTAGCACATGTAATTCCCATTTCTCGGCTCTACGCTCAGTTGTTGCAACTCACAAAGAGGGTGAGATGCGAGAAGGGGCGTTCTCCTAGGAGAAACAATCATATCTGATCGACAGGTGCTTGACGATGTTTGCAATGGGTTTGAGATCCGCCTATCGTCACCGCCTAGGGAGGACACCGGTAATAACGGTTTGTTGTACCCGCTTCTTCGTACATGCTTGCGTATCATCATCCGTTTATTCTTGGGACTATTGAACGCTTGTCTGTTGAGGAACTTGAGGAACAGCATCATTGGTAATTTCCCGGGGATGGAAGAAATAATGTGCTGGTAAGTGATGAATGCTTTGTTCAAGACTTCAATGAATGGGGGGATAGCTTGATGGACTATTACCAAATGCTTGCCCTGAAGCCTGGAATGGCTATCGCCGTGAAAGTTAAATCCACAAGACGATGTATTGGCAAGGGCTTGATGGCGCAGCATAACCCCGTCGAAGTCCCATCGAAGTCCCATCGCGGGCGGTTGGTGTTCTGTGTCTAGGCTGTGTGATAGCTCCAATGTCGATGAGAAATTCAAACGTACCATTTCAGATATTGAGATGTGGGACCACATCCGTACTCTAGTACCGTAAGAGTCGGAATGGTGCTTCTCCTGGAAGCAAAACCTGTGAGCGGGTACCCGGCGCTACATTATGCACATGGTACTCCGACTGTGCAGGACAGGTAAGTCACCACCGGGCACCACTGTGAGTGCTTTTCTGGGCGTGTGATAGTCTAGATGAGGAAGCTTGACATCTAATGGTGAGCGATGTGCCTATACTGTTGCCGTTGACAGGAATCCTTGGTGGCAAAACCCACCAGTGGACGCGGACAGTCACAGTCTTGCACTTTCGCTCCGTAAGACCAGGCACAG